ATGGAGCTATTTTGGAGTAGTAGGTTCACTTAAAGATTTGGGTTACATTGAAGTAGATGAGTTATATTACAATATTGAACATGTTTTATATAAGCTATATGACGATAAAGGAGTTATGAACATGATGAATGTGGGATATTTGTTGGGGAAAGTCAACTTGTATGTTGTACATAAAGTGAGCAAAGCAGTGGTTGTAGAAAATGAGAATGAAATTCTTTACCTTTGTCAAGGGCCTGCAGAGAGTGGTGAGGGTAGTGGGGTTGAGGTTGGTGTAGAAGGTCCTATTGAAGTGCAACAGGAGGTTGGGGAAGGTCCTCTTGACTGTGGTCGTGACTTCGAGAGAGATGATGGAGTGCAGGTTGACACAGAGGGTAGCGTGGAGGTGGAGCAGGATTGTGTACTGGGGGTGGAGCAAGTGGTTGAAGTGGAGGTTAACCAAGAGGGTGTAATGGAGGTGCAGGGAGTGGCTGTAGTGGAGGTGGAGGAACTAGGTGGAGTGGAGGAAGAAGTATAACTGCATAGTGAGGAAGAAGTAGAACTGCACAGTGAGGAAGAAGTAGAACTACACAGTGAGGAAGAAGTAGAACTACACAGTGAGGAAGAAGTAGAACTACATAGTGAGGAAGAAGTGCAAGTGGATACTGAGGATGAAGCACATATTATTGGTGAAGAGAACTTGGAGGAGGTAGGTGATTTGGGTATTGGTTTGGACAATAGTGATTCAGAATACAGGATGGAAGACAGTGATAACGAAGCACAAGGACATGGTAGGGGGTTGTCAGATGATGAATGGGAGTCAGATGTGCTGTTAACTCTAGAAAATAGTGGAAGTGAGGAGGATGACACTAAGGACAGACCAAGTAGAGGTCCCTTTCCTACATATGGGAAAAAGAAGTCAATGTCAGATTACAAATGGGAACTTGGTACTATATTTACTGATAAGGATGAGTTTAAGGAAGCCATTAGAAGCTGTGTTATTCATGCTGGGAGGGCTCTTAAGTTTGTAAAAAATGATAATCGTAGGGTAAGGGTGAGCTGCATGGGTGGGCAAAAAACGTGTCCATGGGTAGCTTACTGTGGGTATTTGCCATCACGCAAGATTTGGCAGTTAAGGAAGATTGTTGATGTTCATTCTTGCAGCAGGCAACTGAACATTAAAATAATGAATAGTAAGTGGTTGAGTCATGAAATAGATAAGTTTTTACATGAGAATCCTAGTATAAGGGTCCAAGACATACGTACTAAAGCATTAAGGAAATGGAACACCAATGTATCAATTTCTAAAGCAAGAAGGGTGAAGTTAATGGCATCAAGTCAACGTGAAGGGGATTTTAAAGAACAATTTCGAAGGATTTATGACTACGCACATGAGGTATTGAGAAGTAACCCAGGGTCAACGGTTAAGGTTAAAGTGAACAGTGATAATGGTCAGTCCATATTCGGGAGATGTTATGTTTGTCTTAAAGCATGTAAGAACAGTTTTATTAGTTGTAGGCCCATCATCTGTTTAGATGGTGTTTTTTGAAAGGTCTTTATAAGGGAGAACTGCTTACTGCTGTTGGGAGGGACCCAAATGAGAAAATGTTACCCCTTGCATATGTAGTAGTTGAAGTCGAAAATAAAGATAGTTGGTCCTGGTTTTTGCAATTATTGGTTGAAGACCTTGGGGGCAATGAAGTTTGTGGGGCGTACACGTGGATGTCTGACCAGCAAAAGGTACATGCACTACTTAAATTATTTTATTATTCATACTTTATTAATCATGTGTGTTTGATTAAAAAATTGATGTTGGCAGGGGTTGGTGCCAGCTATCCAAGAGCTTTTGCCTAAGGCAGAACAAAGATTCTGCATCAGGCACCTTTATGCTAACTTTAGGAAAAAAATTTCTGGTCAGATATTGAAGAATTTGATGTGGAGGGCTGCCACAAGCACATACCCCCAAGCTTGGGAGAGAGATGTTGAATATCAAAGCAGTGAATGAAGAAGCATATAAATACCTCATAGCCATTCCCCCAAGGTACATTGTTTCCCTTACATGCACCAAGATTCTGCATTACTCATGTTTGGTAACCCATTTTCTTCATTCTTGTGCAATAGGTATTAGTCAAGAAGTAGGTTCAAAACTCAAGCAACGTGTGATACTCTAGATAACAACATCAGTGAAGGTTTCAACAGTGTTATTGTTCATGCCAGAGAAAAACCCATTATCACCATGCTGGAGGATATTAGATTGTATTTGATGAAAAGATGGGCCACGAACAGAACGAAGGTGCCATCTATGGATTTCGATGTTTGTCCAAAGATCAAAAAGAGACTTATGAAGGAATGTCATTTGTCAAGATATTGGATCCCAAGGTAATATTGTTCTTGTGCCTTATTTATGTTCATATCCAATTGTTGATGTGCCTTATTTATGTTCATTTATTCAGCTGGTCTGCAAGAAGGATTATTGAGGTTAGGCATGTTTCAGCCATTGGGAACAAGTTCACAGTGGACCTAGACAATGAAGAATGTAGCTGCAGGAAGTGGATGATCAGTGGCATCCCATGTTGTCATGCAGTTGTATCAATGAACTATTCAAATGTAGATCTAGAAACTTTTATACCAATTTGGTTCAGGAAATCCACATATGAAGAGGCATATGCGTCCATCATCTATCCTGTGAATGTCCACCTCCTATGGGAAAAAACAAGTTATCCTGATGTACTGCCACCACTTAAGAGGAAGATGCTTGGGAGACCAAAGAAAAAAAGAAGAATGGAGCCATGGGAGCTAACTAAGGATGGGACCCAAATGAGTGTTGGTGGGCACAGAAAGAAATGTAGCATTTGTCGTGAAGTGGGGCACAACAAAAAAGTGTGCCCTTTACGTCCAGCCATCATAGAACCAACAGAACCAGCACAGGCACAAAGCTCACAACCCCTTGCACCTTCACAACCATCAAGTCCCCAATCTCCTCACCCACCACAACCAACTCAAGATTCCATCCCAGATTTAACTCCACCAATAGGAAGGAAAAAGTTAAATATTAGAAGAAAAGATCCATAGATTTAACTGAAAAATTTGGATGTATTTGGATCTATTTTGTGCTCTTATTAAGTACTTTAATTGTGTATGTTGTACTGTTATTAAGCACTTTAATTTTGTAGTGCTATTAAGCACTTTAATTAAATATGCTATTATAGTTGTAGTGATATTATGTTGTGATATTTGGAAGTAGTGATATTATGTAATTATATCTGTTTTTTGCCAGGTATCCTTAATATGTATTACAGTCATATACGTTAGGGACCACCTTGAACAATTTTTAAAGGAAAGAGGGACCACCTTGAACAATTTTTAAAGCAAAGGGGGACCACATTTAACATTTTTAAAGCATAGGGGGGACTAAAACGAACTTTATTGCACGAACTCAGATTGTTCACTCATATTACAACACCAACTGATATTACATCAACAAAACATGAAGTTAAACACCTAAGCCATTACATGAAAAAAACATACATTGCACATTGCACATTGCACACCTAAGATCAAGCTAAAGACAGCCACAATGTCATAATGTTCAACACAATAACAGCAAACACAACTCCAACTAAGAACTTTATCCTTCTCTGCAACTCTTTCACATTATTTTCCAGATCACATATTCTATTGCTTTGTCTCATAATTGTACCATCTCTATCATCAGCGTTGTTTTCAGAACACTACTTGAAAAAATTACATGACATCCCAGTTGAAAATCCACCCTATTATTCACCAAGAACACAAAAATGTATGAACACATAAAATCCAATACACATAAAAGTCACTACGGTATTCAAAACACCTTGTAATGACGACATCCCCAAAATTTCCTCCCAGCATTCCTTGAAGTTCTGACAACTTTCATTACAGCAATATCACCATAGTGGCAAATAGATGTTATCCCAACTCCCCTCGAAACAGCACCTTGTGAGGATTGCGAAAATCCTTTGGACGTTGCCTTCGAACAGGAAGAACGACTTTGTGATGAAGTCATCCTTAACCCTAACCCTTTGCTTTTAAATTTGGGAACAACAGTAGCACGAATCTCCAAGAACCCTAACCTTTGCTTTTAGATTTGAGAACAAATATAGCACGAATCACCACATCCCTAACTTTGCTTTTAAATTTGGGAAAAACAACCATGAATCACTTTGCTTTTAGGATGAATCAACAATTCAATTTAACACGTCAACTAAAACTGTACAACTCATCAGTTTTTTGTCATTTGCAAGAAGTAGGATATTAGTGAACTTTTGAAAAAAAGAGGACAACTTTGAACAGACCCTACAAACCGAGGGACCAAAATAAGTATTAAACCATTTACTTATAAGTGTAATTTTTTAAAAAACTTACCCATTTTAATAATATTAAATAAAAAATACACCACTTCCAAAAAATTTGTCTAAACAATATAAGAATCAACCTCAGTGAAAAATAACTACTAAATATTAGAAGGAATTTCAAACTATAACCCATATAGTAACAATAATAATATGAAAAGAAACTATACTTTCACAACTATCATTTTTCTAAACAATATAGTGTGACAATTTATTTTAATAATAAAATATCATATTTGTATGATAATGAGTAATATAAATGAATTTTAAAATGAAAAAAAGAAATTTTTTTTCGGTTGTTATTGAATTTTATATAAAAGATGAAGGATAATTAATATATCATGCTCCTTTCTTTTAATTAATACTGCTATATGTTCACAATCCTTTTAATTAATACTGCTACATGCTCACAATCGAAGGTGTTGCGCTAAAGTTGACGCAGAATTCAATTTCTCATCTACAAACTCTACTTTTATGCCGACTCCTTCCCAAAATTTCAGTTTACACAAGAAATCAAATGTGCACCAATTGCGTGTTTCATCCTTTGCTTTGTAAAATTTATCTTATAAAATTGAAAAAAAATTACAATTCCTTCGAAATGTACAAAACAAATCACATAAATCAAAATTCGAGAAAAAATATTGCTGCAATAATTCCTATTAAGAAATTTTACAATTGTGATTTTATCTTTAAACAACGGAAATATATCTAACTTGACCTACCCAACTAAGCAAAATTAGAGATTACAGAGGGGGAGGGAGGGGGAAACTACATCATAATAAAAACTGCAGGAACATGGCTGCAACATTGAACGCTTCAAATAAACCAAAATTAAAGTAAATCTCACAAGAACTAAACAGAGCGGCAACACCTTCTAACTGAACATATACATGATAAGCAACAAGAACTTCAAGCAGCTACTCCCCGATCCCTTCCACGACCACGACCTCTTCCCCTTCCACGACCACGGCCTACAAAACCATCAAATAAAAATTATATTAACTGGTCCACTAAGGTATCAGCTAACTAGGATGAAAACTCCAAAAGGCTGATGCAAGAAGGAATGAAAGAGAACAGAGGAAATTAGATAGATATCAAGGAAAACTGTATGAAATCAAATGAAGTAATTTTCTTCAGTTTCTGGTATAGCCTGACTTAATCACAGGCGCCGTGTAATGCAAACAGCAATAAAATAGGAGTTAAAATCATCAACCATGCAACCAATAACTCAATCAAAATGTTATCTGATAATACAATAGTTGTAATTTAAACAATAACTTTCATCGGCTTACCACGTGGGGCAGGTGGAGCATCATATTCACCATAGTCATAGTACCCAACTGGCTGGGCACCATAGCCTCGTCCCCGTCCCCGAAAAGCACGCCCTCTGGCACGGCCACGGCCTCTTCCACCATAGCCACGTCCACCGTCCCAACCATCACCATATTCCATACCTCCATTGTAAATTCCTAAGAATAACATATTTTTTTCCTAGTAAGCAGCTTTCACATTTTAGCGAAACCCCAACAAAAAAGTTAAAGAAATCATTTTATGATCATTCCATAATCTATATATAATACGTCATTTACAGTCAATTAGTGAAACAAAGTACTTAGCAATACCTCTACCCCGGCCCCTTCCACGACCACGCCCTCTTCCTCGCATCCTTGGTGAGGCTTCTACATCAGATCAATATCAGTCAACATTCACTCTTTGAAATATTAAAAGAAAAATCTAATCAATTCACCTCCTTCCTCTTCATATTCATTTAAAGGTTTTACTTGATCAACTGGAAGTGGAGGTTGATATCTGCATTAGAAAAGCAAAGTGAAAATCATTCCAATAGTGAAAATTAAAAAGCCAAAGTTTAGAAAAGCAAAAAATGAAAACTGCAAATTTATAATCATCAGAGTCGAATACAATAAAAAGAAATGAAGTTTAATATTTCTATCAGTCCACATGAAAGTCAAAAAGGTTAAGTAAACAGCACAATAGAAAGGGTCTTTACTTAAAATCCATTATCTAACATGTTCCCACATCTTCATTATGAAAGAGAATAATGAAACCAATCTTAACTAGAGATCTAGCACCTTGTCTCGTAAATGACACCTCTTAATATAGAAGGCATCAAACAGGTACATTCAGAAATACAGATGACATACAACACAGAAGTGCTTACCCTGTGGAGGACGTATCCAGTTCCTTTTTTGACAAGGTAATTGTGATCATCGAAACATGGCGAGTAGTCTCCAAACTGTTCAATATATAACAAAACCAAAAAAATCACTCCCAAACACAAGTTTGGTATATGACAAGGTAGTATAGAACAAATAACAATACATACGGAAGAAGGCCTTCTTCAAGTGGTTCCCATGTGTCAGTTATATCAGTTGATCCAATTACGGTATTTTGATGCAAGCCAATAATCCTTCTCTGAAACAAATAACAAAACCGTACAACTCGCAAAAGTAATATGAATAAAAGCAGATTAACACATTCCATACAGATATCGATCCTCCCACCTTGATCAGTTCAGCAATCATTACAGTCTTATTTATTGCGCGCCCCATTGCTTTGAGAACAATTTCGTTGGATCCTTTCTCCTATAGAAAATACATATGGAACAAGAAGAATTGATAAAAATAATAAAAAAAATATCGGTTATTCTAGATAAAATTATACTTTCATGGATGGATCGCACCAGAAAAAAAGGGAGAAACCTTATGACCAGCAGAAAATCAATGAAAATGATGTAGTTTAAAAACAGAAATAGAGAGAAATAGGCCCACACAACACTAAAGGCGCTAAGCAGGAAGATGATTACGCTAACAATTAGATAATTTACATAGTATTGTTCGTTTTTTCAGTGCGTGAAAGGAAAATTCATCAAGTTCACAAACAAAGAAGTAAAGGAATATCACAAAACGGGGTAATTTTCATGAATCATATTTCTACAGAGAATTATAAAAAAATCCATCCTTTAAGTTTTATCCCTGAATGACCTGCATAGCATAGGCTCTATTGTGTTCTCTCTTACATAAATCAGTCACGTTAACTTACCAGAATATTGTCTTCTTTGGTTGTGCATTTTTTTCTACTTTATGAAGGGTTTTCTAAATTTATTTGATTGCCTACTGCCAAAAGTTCAGCCAACCCTAACATTTTTCTGTTATCGGATTCTTCGCATGTTAATTGTCATTGCTTGTCAATTCACTCCAGTGTTGGGATACGATTTTCTTGTGTTTTTCCTATGATCATATTTTCAATTACCTGGGTTCAGAAACACATCTGAATGATCTAGCCACTCCATTCTGTAACACGCGTGCGTGAGATAGAGAGATTCCATTTGAAAACCAAGCGCATGTAAAATATCAAGGTTTTACTAAAACTTCAATCTTAAAAATCCCTCCTCCTTGCTGTAATCATTCCAAACAAATTTCAATCCGCTAATACCAATTTAAGGCGATCCAGAACAAACAGTGTAAGAACACAACAAGACAGCATTAATCTGATTCGAGCAACCGAAGCAATAGTATCGACACCGAGACAATTAAATAAACGACGAGTTCAGGCCAATTAATTTGAGAAAAAAAATGAATAAAAATGGAGGGAGGGGAAGAGAGTGATGGTAGAAGAGAAAGAAACCTGAAAGAGTGTGGTAGCGTAGGTGATGTAATTCCTCATTCTTCCTTGAGTAGTAACCCGTATCTCGTTCTCGTTTATCGGAGTCTCAGCCTTGGGCTTCTCTACCCTCTGATACCTATCCATCTACAAAACGCAAAAGGAAATTTCAGAAACAGAGTGAAAGGAAACACAAGGATGTTGTGCTATGCTATGCTAGGGTTTAGAAAATGATCACATCTGACATACAGTTAGTTATGTTGTGCGTGCGATAGAAGAGGGATAAGATATGATATGATACTCTATATCACTCTGCTTGAGTTGACAGGTAGGTTTTGGAAATATGGGTTTGTTTGTTCTGTGCTTTGAATTTTAGATTCAGGCTTGGAATTGAAGAGAGAGAAAGAGAAAGCTTGCGTACCTGGCGAGGTGTGGCTGCACTTGTATGGAAAAAAAAAAAAAGTGTAGTGTACCAACCAAGCAGAAGAAAAAGGCTGGTGAGTAGGGCTATGACGTTGCGGTCTTATCGCCGAGGAGACCGCCAAATTAACCTTCTTTCTTTCTTCTCTTTCCCTTCACACTGTGGGCATTTCTCCTTCTTGGGCTTTTCTCCTTCTTGGGCCTCCCTCTCTACTCAATCGATATTAGGTTTTACTCTCTACACCACCCCACTTTCCTCCCTGCACCACCACATTTTTTTAAAATTCCAAAACTATCCTTTATATTTTAAAATATCTCATACCCCCACCCTTTTTCTTCAACGGATGTCAACATCCGTTGAAGAAAAAATTCTTCCACGGACGTGCTATATCCGTGGCGACATTCGTTGCCTTTTTTGTTTTTTAGTTTTTAGTTTTTTTATTTTTTTTGTTTTAAATTAATATATAAATATTATTTAATTATTTTAAAATTATAACTTAATTATTTATAAATTAATTTTATTTTATTTAATAATATAATTATTATTAATTTTAATTTATGTATTATTATTTAAATAATAATTAAAAAATTTATTATAAATATATTAAAACGGATGTGCCACATC